AAGCAACTCGTCTCTCCTATCTCAGGAGTTTCCTCTCCCAAACAGGGATGTTGGTTGACAATTAAACAGCTCACTGGGGGAGGAGGACACTCTACAAATATCTCTATACTCAGTATGCGGGAAGGCTAGCACATCCCAGCAAAAGATGAGAGTGAAGCATTCACAACAATCCTCAGCCAGAGTAGTTGAGTGCATGATCCATCTGGAGGTTCCCAGCAATACAGACATCAGTCCTCAGCCAGTTTGATTTACTGCATGTGATATCCATAAATAGCTGAAGGCAATGGACGCTGCAAAGTCTAATGGCCCTGACAACATTCCGACAGTGGTACTGAAGACTTGTGCTCCAGAACTTGTTGCACCTTTGTTCCAGTACAGTTAGGACACTGGCATCTATTCAGCAATGTGGAAAATTGCCCAGGTATGTCCTGTACACACAAAGCAGGACCAATTACTGCCCCATTTAGTCTACTTTCAATCATTGGTAAAATGATGGAAGGTGGCGCTGGCCAGATGGTGACAGGTAAGTTGCTGCATTCGGAGCTCTGCTCTGCTCGCCAGTTCTCTTTTTCTCTTCCTTTGTCCTTCCTTTTTTTCCCTTCCCTTCTCACTCCTTCTGTCATAATTCTATCACCCCCCCCCCCCCCAACCATTTTAACTACCTACTTAAGGAATCAGGAAGGAGCCAGGTCATGACCAGGAGCCACGTGGCGGGAGCTGAACACGCGGGTTGTGTCCTGCAGTGGATCCAGCATGGGCCGGAGCGACGGCAGCGGCAGTGAGAGTGGGTCACTGGCAACAACATAGCATGGGTTGGAAAGCCCAGAGCAGGACTCTTTTTTTTTTTTTTTTTTTTTTTTTTTTCCTTTATTTGTTCAAGGGATGAGGGCATCGCTGACCAGACAGCATATATTGCCCATCCCTAATTGCCCAGAGTGGGGTCCAGAGTCAACCACATTGCTGTGGATCTGGACTCACATGTAGGCTAGGCCAGGCCAGGTAAGGATGGCAATTTCCTTCCCTAAAGGGCATTAGTGAACCAGATGGGATTTCCTGACAATCGACAATGGATTCACGGTCATCATTAGATTCTTAATTCCAGATATTTATTGAATTCAGATTCCACCATCTGCCGTGGCAGGATTCAAATCCAGATCCCAGAATGTTATCTGGTTCTCTGGATTAACATTCTCGGGATAATACCACTAGGCCATCATTTAGTGTGGCGGAGGAAAGGAAAATTGGACTCTCAAGTTATTTTTTTTTTCTTTCTTATTCTAAGTTAATGTGAATGGTGCCATGTATGTACAGCGAAGGTGCACACATTTTACTGTATTATTTCAATGAATACATGTGACAATAAATGATTCGCGTTCAGTTCATTTTCACATGTCATCGACTGTGCTATTAAAGAGCATGCAGTTGGTATTTTTGGGAGGTTGGTTACGGTTCCACCAGGGCCACTCTGCTCCTGACCTAATTCACAGCTGTGATTCAGATATGACTAAAAGAGCTGAACTCCAGACCGGCAATGAGGTGAGCAATTGGCTTTGACATCACAGAGCCTGAGCAAAACTGGAGTCAATAGCAACTGGGGAATTGGAAACATATGAATAATTGGGGTATTGAGGGTATAGACAGCGCAGAGGCAAAAAGGTTTTTAGTTTAGAAAGACATCATGTGTTGACACATCCTAGGTAGGCCAGAGGGCCTGTTCCAGTGCTGTGCTGTACTGTTCTTTGTACCTGGTACAAAAGAGTGTGGCTCTGGTTGTTGGAAGTCAGTTATCTAACCTATCGGACATCTCTGCAGGAGTTCCTTAGGCAAGTGTCCTAGGCTCAAACATCTTCAGCTCCTTCGTCAATGACTTTCCCTCCATCATAAGGTCAGACGTGGGGATGCTCACTGCACAATGGTCAGCACCATTCACAACTCCTCAGACACTGAAGCAGTCTGTATCCAAATGCAGCAAGACTTGGATGATATTCAAGCTTGGGCTGACACGTTGATTACCATTTGTGCCATGCAAGTGCAAGGTGATGACCATCTCCAATAAAGAATGTAACCATCACTCCTTGACATTTAATGGCATTACCATCACTAAATCCTCCACTGTCAACATCCTGGGAGTTACAGTTGACCAGAAACTGAATTGCACTAGTTATACAAATACTGCGACTGCAAGTGCAGGTCTGAAGCTAAGAATCCTGCAGTGAGGAGCTCCCTCGAATCAGCAAACCTGCCTACCATCTATAAGGCACAGTTCAGGAGTATAATGAATACCTGCCCACTTGCCTTGATGAGTGCAACTCCAACTACACTCAAGAAAAGTCACAGCCTCCAAAACAGAGTTGCTGCTTGTTTGGCACCATAATCCACAAACCTTCACGGCCCCAAACGCCAATGCACGCAGTACCAGTAGTCTATATCACCTACAAGATGCCTTGCAGAAATTCACCAAGGCTCCTTAGACAGTACCTTTTAACCACTATTGTTTACAAGGACAAGGGTAGTGACTACATGGAAACAGCACCATGAACAGGTTCCCATCCAAGCCATGTAGCATCTTGACCTGGAGATATATTGCTGTCCCTTCAATGAAACTGGGTCAAAATCCTGGAATTTCCTCCTGAACATCACTGTGTGGATGTATTGACACCAAATAGATTGCAGCGTTTCAGAAGGGTGGCTCACCACCACCTTCTCAAGGGCAACTCAGGATGGACAGTAAATGTTGGCACAACAGAAAACGGGGAAGGCAATGGCCTAGTGGTATTATTGCTGGACTGTTAATACAGAAACCCAGATAATGTTCTGAGGACCCAAGTTCGAATCCTGCCACGGTAGATGGTGGAATTTGAATTCAATAAAAATATTTGGAATTAAGTTTCTAATGATGACCATGAATCCACTGTCGATTTACAGAAAAACCCATCTGGTTCACTAATGTCCTTTAGGGAAGGAAACTGACATCCTTACCTGGTCTGGTCTACATGTGACTCCAGGCCCACGGCAATGTGAGTGACTCTGAACTGCCCTCTGGGCAATTAGGGATGGGCAATAAATGCTGCCTGGTCAGCGATGCCCTCATCCCATGAATGAATAAAGAAAAAAAAAACTTACAAGGTCCACGCCCCTCAATCATCTTTCAAAACAAAAACCCAATCTATTTATTTGACGGTCAGAAATGGTTCCTTTTGAGTTCCTGTTGGATGGGGAATCTTGCTGCTGCCTAACAATGAATGTGAGTCAGTGACTGATTTTAGACACATGCAGATTAGGAGGTGTAGGCTGTTTCCTGAACGTCACAGCTCCTGCTCACATGACTGTCCCGGGGATTCAAAGCTAACTATGCTTGGCTGTCACTTCAAGTAAAATGTTGTGGTCCCATTCTCGATGAGCTATTAAGCTGACCTGCAGCTATCTGGTTAGGTGTGTGTGAAAGATTCTCTTGGTCCAGATTTATGCTTGTCATTTAACTAACAGCCTGTTACAAATAAACTAGCTGCCACTTGGCTGATTTGCCTATAGCAAGGTCACACGTGGCAGTGTAGTTGTTGCATTCACCTGCAAACCATGGAAAGCATTCCAAGGGAATTCATTTCGTCGCCAGGTCACGTAAAATGTTATAAAATACAGGTTTTTCTTGTTAGCCCAGCAATTATTGTTTGATATTAATACTGTACAGTTTTTATTTTGCAAACTGACAAGTGTTTGACATAAACACATTAAGTAAACTGATTAGCTTCGGCTCTACAATGAATTGTAGATCCCTCGGGTGTACTGAGGAACAAAGAGACCTTGGTATACAAGTCCACAGAATCATAGTATCCCTACAGTGTGGAAGCAGGCCATTCGGCTCATCGAGTTCACACTGACACTTCAAAAGAGCATCCCAACCAGATCTACCCAATCCCTGTAACCCTGTATTTCCCATGGCTAATCACCTAACCTACATACCCCTGGACACTATGGGCTATTTAGTATGGCCAATCCACCTAACCTGCATATCTTTGGACTGTGGGAAGAAACTGGAGCACCTGGAGGAAACCCACGCAGACACGGGGAGAATGTGCAAATTCCACACAGACAGTGAGCTAAGGGTAGAATTGAACCTGGGTCTCTGACGCTGTGAGGCAGCAGTGCTGACCACTGAGCCACCATGCTACCTCATAGAGTCCTGAAGGCGTCAGCACAGTTAGAATGGTGAGGAAGGAACACGGGGAAGCTTGCCTTCATTAGCTGGGTCTTTAAAATATAAGAGCAAGGAAGTCTGGTGACGACTTTATAAAATATTGGTTAGGCCACAGATGGAATACTGTGTGCAGTTCTGGCCACCACACTATTGGAAGGAGAGGATGCAGAGGAGATTCACCAGGATGTTTTCTGTGATGAAGAGTCTCAGTTTTGAGGAGAGACTGGATAAGGTTGGATTTGTTTTTTTTTGCAACAGGAAGGCTGTGGATTAATCTGATTGAGGGAGATTGTGAGAATCGCTTCCCCATAGCAGACCTGTTTAAGACCAAAGGACACAAATTTAAGATGAAAGAAATTTTTCATTCAAGGGTGGTAGATGTATGGAACATTCTGCCTGATAGGGTGGTGCAGGCAGATAACCTTGCAACATTTAAAAAGCATCTGGATGAGCACTTGAAATGTCAGGGCACAGCAGGCCACAGACAAGTGCAGGCAAATGGGATTCAAGTAGTTTGCTGTTTGCTGGTCAGCATAGACATGGTAGGCTGAAGGACCTGTTGCTGATGTTGTATGACTCTGACGTTTTGCTTAAAAAAAAAGGAAGCAGGGGAAATATTAGTACGCTAATAATTCAGGAGTAGCGTGAAAATACCAAAATAACATGTTTTAATTTTCATTTCTTTCTTTATCAACAGATGAAGTATGTGGAAGAAACTTTGGAGTTGCAAAATGAAGAAGTTCTACTGATGTGTATTGGAATCTCCTCAGGGGTTGGGCGATTGGTTTTTGGCAGGGTTGCAGACTACTTAGCTGGCTCAAATAAAGTTTTCCTTCAGGTAAGATGGGTTAGTGTCATGGGCCAAGTGCCTGCTTACAGAGATGTAGGGGCCAACTCTATACAAGCCTGTCAACTGAGGGGCATAAGGTTTACATACCTGACAGCTCACCACCATCTTAGGGGGGCAGGCAATAAATACTGGCCCAGCCAGTGACGCCCACATCCCATGAACGAATAAAAATAAATTGGATTGTATTGACCCATACTCTGCAAGCTCAAGAATAAATTTGCTAAACATTTTTATCTACTTTTCTTCACGTAAATAGAAACAAGTGATGAGACTTTCCTTTTGTTCTTTTAGGTGGGATCGTTCTTTGTTATCGGGCTGATGTCCATGATGATTCCACTCTGTCAAAGCTTTGGTGGTCTCATTGCAGTCTGCCTTTTTATGGGTTTATTTGACGGATGTTTCATCTCAATTATGGCCCCTGTTGCCTTTGAGCTTGTGGGTTCAGAGAATGTATCCCAGGCGATTGGATTCCTTCTCGGGTTGATGTCCATTCCAATGACAGCTGGCCCACCAATTGCAGGTACGGCATGTTGTTAGATAACTGTCCAGTTTAATACAGAAATCTTTGATTACTTAATAACTATATCATCTGAACTTTGGTATTTGGAAAACGACTAATCAACATATCATAGATGAAACCAAAGGCCTGTGCTGCTGGCTATTCAAATGGTGAGGAATAAATTGAAAAATGACCACATTACAAACTTTTAGGGCTTTTTGTTTTAATGTGCTAGCAGCAACGACGACATTATATTCTGGATAGCAATTTAACTCAGCAAATATCTTAAACTGATTTTCACCTGAGAATTATTAAACAAATTTGACACTCGAGCTATCAGGGCTCGGAGGAAATTAGGTAGACAAGCAGGCAGATTAAGTGAGAGAATTCCAGAACTCGGAGCCTAAGCAGCTGAAGGCACAGCCTCGGTGTTTCGAGGGTCGTTGTGCCAGAGGAGATCCGAGAAAGGGAAGGATGGGGTTCTGGAGGGATTTGCAAACAACAGTAAGAGTTGTAAAATGAATGAGACCTGTACTAGTTCTGATTTTGTGTGTTACTGAACTGGTTTTGATGGTGTGGAATTTCTGAGCATTTCATCGCCTTTTCTCTTGCATTTTAAATACAAAACTATTTTAAAAATCCTTTTAATAAAATTCAGAATCTAATTATAATTCATAAAGTAGCCAATCGCTTTGGGATCAGCCACTGACAGAATAGAGGCAATATACTTTGAACTCTTATACAGATGAATTGGGGAAATTATTTTCCGTAACCACCTGATATCTAAGTCTTACAGAAGCATCCATTGTTGGGGAATTAGAATGATATCTGGCCAACGTTGATTCTACAAACTAACATTTGTCGTTTGCTGATTTATTCTGTTGCAATTTGAGTTTGGGGACTGGGAAGGAGCATTATTTTTAAATGTTGAATCCTCGGAATGCCAAATCGTGTTTATTTCTGCTGTTTAAGGTATACCCAAATTACGTTGATTTTAATTTCATGCATCCCTCAGCCTTCATGCATCTCCTTAGTTATTCATGGAATATGCATTCTTTTGACAGCATATTTCTTACTCAATGAAATGATTCTTTGAGAGTTGAGTTGGAGAGCATAACTAACTGGATTGATCTTCAAAAGAACTGCTGTAGACTCAATGGGCTGAGTGTCTTCCTTGGGGTAATATTCAATGATCCAATCCATGGTACGATACTGAGATAGGAGTTGAGGAATCTAAGTGCATGCTCACTGATCCCTGTAGGTGGTTGGACAGTTATGTATGGTCAAGAAGACCTACTGGATACATTTATTAACCAAGGTACAAAATATATGAGCTGGAAGGGTATACTGGAACGATCTTAAAACACTATTTCGATCCTGTCTGGCGTGCTACATGCAGTCTTGGTCATCATGCTATAAGAAAGGTGTGATTTCAGTAGAGAGGATATAAAGGAGATTTATGAGGATGTTGCCTGGATTGGACAATGTTGATTAAAGTCTTATTCAATAACAGAGCATATTCAGTGGATGGGATGTGGACTGACAATATTTTTCATGTTCCCTCACACAACTGCTGCAGTGGAAAATTGGTTCCAAGACTCTTCATGTGGCTTGGTCGTCCTATCTCATGAGTCTAGATACTGCTAAGACCACTGCTACTGACCTGTACTTATGCTAGTCAGGACCAAAGGTGACGCTAGGAGTCAATCTGTAATCTTCCTTAACCCCAGTGGGGGTGCGTGGAGTTTAAAATCAAGGCTGCACCTCTCCTCCTCTCTTGGCCTTATGGGCACCCATGTCACCGGAATCTTAAATTCTGGATTTTGGGAAGCGTACTTGGCTCTGGGAACAGGCAGGTGAGACCCTTGTCAATATGCAAAGACTGGATTGATGACTGGGAAAACACGAGTGGCTTTCCTGAATTCACCACCTTGCCCTGAATGTGTTTCCCTTGTAGCAGACCCATTCCCTCTGTCTTCCGAACTGGATTTGGATGGTGATGACACCAAGGATTTTGTAAGGAGGTTGGGGTGGAGGGTTAGGGTTTAAAATACCCTGGCCTGATGTCACCAATGGTGGTCAGCAGTAAGCTATACATGTCTCTGAATCCTAGCCTGAAGTTGAGTCTCTGGTGTGATTTAATTGGCAATTTTTATTTTACTTCAATACCTTGTCCAAGAGAACAAAACAAAAATCATTATGTACGTTCATGAACATAAGAACGAGGAACAAGAGTAGGCCATTTGGCCCTTCGAGCTTGCTCTGCCATTCAGTAAGATCATGGCTGATCTGATTCTAGTCTCAATGGTACATTCTTGCATATCCCCAATAATCTCTCGTCCCCTTGGTAATCAGTAATCTGTCCACCTCTGTCTTATAAATATTTAAAGATTCTGCATCCGCTGCCTTTTCAGGAAGGGAATTCCAAAGACTACCAAACCGCTGAGAGAATTTTATGCTTTCATCTCTGACTCCAAATGCGTGACCCCTTTTTTTTTAAAGGATGACCTCTATATCCTTACAGTATCAAGGCCAAGACCCTTCAGGATTTTGCATTTCAATTGAATCAATATCCGTCTGCTCTAAATTTCAGAGGATACCATTCCTCATGAGATAATTCACTCCTTCCAGATATTACTCAAGTAAAGCCTCTCTGAACTGTTTCCAACATAATAACATCCTTCTGTAAATACAATGACCAGTTCTGTACACATTAATCCAAATGCATTCCCACCAATGCCCTGTATAACTGAAGCATAACCTCCCTACTCTTGCATTCAGAACCCTCAGGGAGGAACAAAATAACCTCTATTCGTTGTACCTGCATACTAACCTGCTGTGAATCACTGGGACACCCTGATCTCCCTATGTCTCGCAACTCTGCAACCTCTCACCATTTAGATAATATGCTTCTTTTTTATTCTTTCTGCTAAAATGAATAATTATACATTTTCCCACCATATACTCCATTTGACTGACCTTCGTCCACTCTATCTATATCCCTTCATAGGTTTATTTGTAAAAACATAAGAAATAGGAGCAGGAGTAGGCCACCTGGCCCCTTCAAGCCTGCTTGATCACAGCTGATATTCTCGTGGACTCCACTCCACCTACCCACCTGCTCACCATAACCCTCAATTCCTTTACTGTTCAAAAATCTATCTTCAACACATCCAACATGATAGCCTCAACTGCTTCACTGGGCAGGGAATTTCATAGATTCACAACCCTTTGGGTGAAGAAGTTCCTCCTCAACTCAATTCTAAATCTGCTCCCCCTTATTTTATATGTCCCCTAGTTCTAGTTTCACCTGCCAGTGGAAACAACATCCCTACTTCTGTCTTATCTATTCCCTTCATAATTTTATATGTTTGCATAAGATCCCCCCTCATTCTTCTAAATTACAATGGGTATGGTCCCAGTCTACTCAATCTCTCCTCATAAACCAACTCTCTCAATTCCAGAATCAACCTGGTGAACCGTCTCTGCACTCCCTCCAGTGCCAGTATATCCTTTCTCATGTAAGGAGACCAAAACTGTACACACTACTCCAGGTGTGGCCTCACCAGCACCCCATAGAGCTGCAGCATAACCTCCCTATGTTTAAACTCCATCCCTCTAGTGATGAAGGACAATGTCCTCTTCACAAGTCACTTTCCTACCTTTCTTTGTGCCATCAGCGAATTTAGTTACCATACCTTCAGTCCTTTCATCCGAATCATTGATCAACATTCTAAAGAGTTGAGATCCCAACACTGACCCCTGTGCACCTGTGACATCTTGTCAGCCTGAAAAAGGTCTATCACTAGCTCTTTTAGCCAGCCAATCTTCTATCCATGTTGATACGTTATCCCAACGCCATTAGCTTTAACTTCTGCACTAACCTTTAGTGTGGCACCTTAGCGAATAGCTTTTGGAAATCTAAATACATTACGTGTACTGGTTTCCTTTTATCCTCAACCAAGTTACTTCTCCCAAGAACTCCACCTGATTAAACACTCTTTCCCTTTGACTAAACGTGCCGTGCCAAGTCAGAAGGGTGATGGAGTACTCCCCGTTTAGCTGGGTGTGTGCAGCTTCAACAACACTCAAGAAGCTTGACACCAAAGCAGCCCACTTGATTTGCACATCTTCAACATCAGCTTCCTCCACCACTGACACTTAATGCCAGCACTGTGTGCCACCTACAAGATGCAGTGCAGAGATTCACCAAGACTCCTTAAACAGCACCTTCGCCTAAAAGGACAAGGGCAGCAAATACTTCAGATCAACACCTCTGCCTGCCTCTGTCCAAGGCACTCACCATCTAGACTTGGAAATATATCACTGTTCCTTCAATGTCACTGGGTCACAATCCTGGAACTCTTTCCCTGATGGCATTGAGGGACTACCTACACTGCATGGACTGAAGTGGTTCAGAAAGGCAGCTCATCACCATGTTCTCAAGGGTGACTTGGGTTGGGCAATGAATACTGCCCCGGCTATCAAACACACACATCCCAAGTTGACTTTTGTTTCTTTGAATAAAAAAACTTGATTTGTCACCTTTAGGATCTGCTGGTGCTCCATCTTTTTCTTTTTCAAACAGACTTATTGACTGAGTCATTATACAATGTTTCACAAACTAAGAAGTACTCAAGGATCCTATAACCCTTCCTAACGATACTTTTGACTTTCCTGGCCACCTTCAGAGAATCATGCACGTGAACCCTGAGGTCCCTCTGCGCCAATAGTTTGCTCAAACTTGTATCATTGACCCTGTATTGTCTCTTCATGTTTCTTCTACCCTTACTCTGGTACCTGCCCTGTATTTGTGCTGTTGGGTAGTTTTAGTTGAATCTATGAATTGTATTTTGTTTGATATAAGCACAGTATCAGAGAGAGTACTGTTGGGTGAAAGGATTGCACAGTACTGTGTGTGGAAAGAGGAAACATGTTATCTGATATAGGAGTACAAATCACAGCCAGAAGCACATAATCAGAAGAAAATTGAGTCCGGAGTTGATAACTACTATCAACGC